AGACAAGAATAGGGAATAGCTTATTTGTCCATCTTTACTTAAAATTTCAGGGATGTAACTGTTTTAGGCCCTTAGGAGACAAATACAAAGTGACGGTAAAATCTAATACATTTTCCTACAACTGATAAAAGTGTTTTAGAAATATAAGGAATATCATCATACTTGTCTGTTTTTAAATAAGATTTATGACTCCTTTTTTAAAAAAGAAACTTTGAACGATAGAAAAAAAGCGCACAAAAAAGATAGAAAGGTGAAAATGTAGAACCAGCTAAATACAAGGAAATTTTAGCTGCAAGTTATTTAGGTACACAGGCCTTCTATGGTAATAAAAAAATCATTACAAGATAAAGGCAATAGTATCATTTATGGGTTTCAAAATAAGTTATCTCATAAGGAAGGTTGGTGTGTTGACTTTTGAAAGAAACATCAAATAGAAATTAAAGAAATCCTTAACTCAATCTGAAACCCTACATGAATCAATGTATCAATTTACATTCTGTCTTAACTATATAATAGTTATTTTGTCTTGGCAAAGCCAACTGTTATATTTTAGTGCCAAAAATAGAATATGCTAGCATAGCTCCTCACCATATTTAAAAACAGCAATAAATATACCTACTTTGAAACAACAGAAAAAACTACAAATATACCTACTTTATAGTATGGCAATGAAACAATTTAAAAGTCCCATGTCTTCTTGACTGAAATAAAAAGAGCTTATGTAAATATATTTCCCAGTGGATTTCTCAATTCTATGGGCCAGACTTAAATAAATCCCATTCTGCTACACTTAAATGGCATTCATAATCAAATTTATATTAAGTTTCTTTAATCCATGGATAGTTCTTTTTTCCATTCAAGGCCATATTGCTGAATGAAGAAGTTTCTTCATTTATTCTAATCACTATCTTAAAAGAAAATTTGGGTGGGAAAATATAATGAAGAATTATTTTGAGCTCAGAGCTCTTTTGGAACTCAATAAAGTTTTTTTTAACATTAGTTAAAACATAAGGAAAATATCTAAACTTCTACTTAATCTAAACTCCTGGTGACTCCTGTTATTTTATTTATGAATAATATTGAAGGTTTTCTCTTGCAATATTTTGCAACTTCCCAGTCCAATATGCAGTCAGATTTTTCCAAATTATCTCCCATCCAAACAGTAAAAAGAGTTGCTTTTATTTAGTTTCAAAATAAAAAAAAATGTGTCTGAAGTTGTCATACGGCTCCTATGTATAAAAAGTTGCAATAAAAATCCATTAATGGGACACAAATCAAGCCTCTATCAAAAATATTAGAATGTTCCAGCATTGTGTTTCCTTATGAAAAAGATTAAGTAACTTTACTACTTCAGTAATAAGAACATTTATTTGCTTTAACCTAAACATGGCAGAAAAATCAAATATTTCAAGGTAACCAACAACAGTTTAAGCTGTAAACACTAAAGCAATGTAATTTTGTTCTTATGGATTTCTATGACACCTGATTAAAGTTAACTTTATTTCAGAGCCTGATAGACTTCTTTCTTTATTCCCTTAAAAATTATCTTCATTACTATTTCTTCAGCTGAATTCAGCTGCACAAATTCCAAAAATAGATCAACTCACTTATTAAGATTAAAAACAACTTGTCTATCACTGTTGAACAATGAAGTGAAAGGAGTGTCTTGTTGTATGATACACCAAGTTTTTTTTTCCAGTGATGCAAATAATTTCAAAGACAATAATACATGAAGATTTAAAAAATGTTCCTTTAAAAGTCATTAAGCATTTTAGCAAATATGGCTAAAACAGATAATTGCTGTATAATTTTCTGTTTTCTTCTTTTATATCCTTGCTACATTCTATCCCATGATTTTTCTTATTCATTGTTTAGCTTGATTACTTTCATATTCTCTCAATATGCCAATAATTTGACTCCATTTAAAGTATTTTTCTCAGAACATCAGTTAAAGAATATAAAAACAAATTGAGAGAGGTGAGCAAGCATGTTTTCTTTATGAACTTTAAATAGTCGAATAGAATGTCTTCCTTCTTAAAAATGCAATTTTAACATTTAAAATCAGAAAGTATAAGCAAATATGTAATGATTATTGCAAAGGCAGTACAAATAATTTGACGCAAATCATAGCAGCTCTTAAAATCTGTTTTTGCTGTTAACATTTCTAGAAATTAATTAATGTGACATTTTTGTGATTCTTTAGTTGTTATTTAAAGTGTTTTTATGCTGCTTCTATATTTATAATTCTAGAGCAGGGGTGTCAAACTCAAGGCCCGCAGGCTGGATCCAGCCCACGGGGTCCTTAAATATGGTCCATAGGGCTCACCTGGAAATAGCAAAGGACCAGCCCGCGTGCCTCTGCTAGCAAAAACGGAGAGTAGGGAGGCCATGCACGGCCCCCTATGCCCCGTTTTTGGCCTGGATGGCCTCCTGCAGCACTCTGCTAGCCAAAATATTTTGGCCAGCAAGGTGCTGCAGGACAACATTCAGGCTGAAAATGGGATGCAGAGGGACCTGCACAAAGCCCCCCCCCTTATCCCGTTTTGGCCAGCAGGGTGCTGCAGGAAGACATCCGTCCCGTCTCTCCACCCCCACCCCCCCGCAGCTGGCCCACGGAGGAGAGCTGCAATGCTGATCCGGCTCTTGAAGAAATCCAGTTTGATACCCCCGATCTATAGGATCACAGCAATGATACAAAATACAATTACCAACAGAATAATAAATGCAACCATAACCCTTGATGTCAACATGTATAACTACAAATTATAGTAAGATATAATCCTGTCATCATTGTGAAACACATTAGGACATATGAATATACCTCCGCAGTAACCATAGGTAACTGAACAGTTTTGCTTGAATTCTGCTGGTTACAGAAGCATAAGGAACCCCTGGAGATATCAGCTCTAAATTTAGAACAATATGCTAATCCCCTACTGTACAATGGAACTATACATTTAAATACTTAAGAGTTGCTAAATCATAACTATCAACTAGACTAACTTGTAGCCATCTGTTCCTTTTCTGGCCAAGGGAAAACCAATTTAAAAAGTTTATTATTGTCCAATACCATAGGTCTTCCTCAGCCCAACCAACAAAACAGTTGGGGCAAACTTAATTTGACAATTCACTTTGAAAATGTCACCTTTCCCTGAGTACATTACTTGTTTTCAATACTTGCTTCTCAATGGATGAAGATAGGGATATGATATGAGACTGATTACTCCATGCAATCCTAACAGAAGATGTGATATCTTCTATATGACTCACTTAGCAGCCGCCTGACATAGCAATGGAAATTCTGGTCCAGTTGTGGTCGTCCGTCAAGGACTAACTGTAGCTAATGTTTTTCCCTTCTCTTTTTCTCCAGTTTTAAATATTTCATAATTTATAAAGTTTTTCACTCACCTCTCTCTCAAAAGATTAAAGAATTGCTTTGGATTTTTCAACAAGACTACAAGCTCTTTGGATAATCAGGACCTGTTCAGATTCTGTTAACAAATGCATAAAACAACACCTTTGTGTGTTTGGGAATCTGTTTACCTGAAATCTCTGCAGTTCATTTGAAAACACAAACTTCTCTCACCTGAAGATATTATTTTGTAAGCAAGTTATGTCTGCCTGAAGTTCTGTACTGTAGATGAAAGAAGATAATCCCTCTGAAATGCTCAAAAATCAGTTTATCACAGGTCAAAAGTTATGGACTTAAGAGAACTAAGACAACCAATGAGAAAATTTCCCATGGTTCTAAGCTTCTTCAGTAAGACTGCTGGTCCAAAATGGAGGCAGCATGATTTAGCCACTTTGTTTAATGAAAATATAACTTTCTGATTTAATTCTTTCAAACAGATTTATATCCATTTATTTTATATTGTTTTCCAAATCTTTATTAAGTTTAACATTTAAACAGATTTCTGCTTTGTTACATTAAATTAAAATGATCACCTGTTTAATGCTTGGCATTTTCAATAAAAGGAAGAAAATGAATAAAAGGGAGCATATAAATGATTGCCTATCTTATTATGTTACTGAAAATAATTAGAAATAATATATCTGATTGGGTTCTTTCGGTGTAAACAAAAAGTATAAAGAAGGTACAGTATATAAAGACTATCGAAATAATCATATGTAGACATATTATTTCAATTATTTTGATGGAATAGGAGTGACAAAAATTATTGCAGATCTGTTGTGTCACTGCATAGTTGCTAATTCAATACTTTTCTTCACTGTGAGTAGTTTCAAATATTGACAGTTGTAACTTCTGGTGAAATCTAATGAGAGCAATAGTTCCAGTAAGAATATGACAGTATTCCCTCAGAAAAATGCTTAATAATGTCCTACTTTTCTGCTCTGGGTAAATTAGGGAGATACTAGAGTAAGGGAAGAAACTTACGAAATTGGACACTCAAGGATCAACTTATATATTTAACATGCTGATATGATGGGTACAAAAATATAACATTTTGTTTCGTTGGAATACATGCAAAGAGCCCGACCTTTCGTAAAAAATCAAGATGGCTATGTTTTCTGAAAAATAAAGAGGTTAGGAAAGTCTATGTTGAAGAATGATGAGTTTTCAAATCCATCCGTTTTATTTATTTCACAAAAGATTTAATGGATTTTAATATGTTTCATAAAATACATGGATTGAAGACTGTGTACCACGTGCAGAAGGAAAGAGTCAAAGGTTGAGTTTTCCATATATGTGATATAATTTTGTGTGCCCTAGGATTTTAATACAGTGAAGGTTCATGCCTGTATTGTAAAAAGATGCAAAGAGAACTACTGAAGACACATGAGGGTGGAAGAAGGAAATAAAATTCAGTGGAAAAGTTAAGGGAAAAGCCAGTTATGCACGGAGGAGGTAAAACATCAACAAGACCCTGCAGTTAACACAGCTGAGTATGGAGTAGCAAAGCCTCAAAGTTTCTCAAGCCTCAAAAGAGAGATTGACTAGCCATTTGTCTGGAATGTTTTAGGGCCTCAAAGTCTATGACAGAGGTCTCCAAACTTGGCAACTTTAAGACTTGTGGATTTCAACTCCCAGAATTCTCCAGCCAGCTGGAGTTGAATTCTGGGAGTTGAAGTCCACAAATCTTAAACTTGTGAAGTTTGGGGACCCCTGGTCTATGGAGATTCTCAATCATCCATGGTCATGGTTGTGCCAAAGGTACTTTTTCCAAAAGAGAGTTTTTGGGCTTTCTTCAAACTTTGGGGCTTTCAGACAAACTTCTGAAAACAATTCACTTTTGATCCAAGAAGCTTCTTCAGCTCTAACTTAATAGTTTCCGGCTTGAGCAGTGGGTTGGATTAGAAGCCCTCCAAGGTTCCTTCCAACTCTTATTTTGTATTCTGCATGCCAAACACAGCTATCTAGCAACAGGTAATTGTTTCCCCTTCTTCTTACATACCAATAAAGACTGAAAAACCAAGAGGCAATTACAGAGCTAGTTCAATTTACAGCAGAACCTACAGAAATGTGGAGTCTGGAAGCTGAGGGAAGCCCTGAGTAACAGGAACAGATTCCTCAGTCCTTGAAGGAGAAGCTTGTCAAAAGAACTGCCTTTATTAGTAGAAAAAGATGGCCCAGGATAAAAAAAAAAGAAAAGAAATTTGTAACTTTTTAAAATCCTGTCACTTGTCACTTATTGATACAGCATTGTCCCTTGTCATATCATTAGGCACAGGTAAGTATAGGCTTAATACACTGGGACTGTATCGTTTGTGTAATAACCCTATTAATTCATATAAATACCAGAGAAAAAGCATTCACTTCCTGGTCTGTTGCTTGTACCATAACTTAAAACTAACCTTGCCATAACATGAAATTTCAGATAAAAATAAATTAGCTTAACTTTTAAATGCTTTTTTTTTTTTTGGCTGCAAGAGATAAATAAAAATAATCTTTGTGGGACAATGATTTGTTTAATGATTGTTTGAAGTTACAATGCCACAGAAAAAAATGACAATGTTCACACTCAGAACCATTGCACCATCCCCATGGTCACATGATCAAAAATTCTTGGCAACTGACTTGTACTTATGACAATTGCAGCATCCTGGGCTCATGTGATCCCCTTTTGCGACCTTCTGACAAGCAAAGTCAATGGGGAAGCCAGATTCACTTAACAACCAGGTTGCTATTTTAACAACTGCAGGCTTGGCAACTGTGCCAAGAAAAGTCATAACAGGGGGCAAAACTCACTTAACAACTGTCAGCAACAGAAATTTTGGACTCCACTATGATTGTTAAGTCGAGGACTGTCTGTACTGCTACTCTCTACCAAATTGCAGATAATGGGCTTTAAAACAGCTAAGACACAGAGAATTGAAAAATAAAAATTTGTGACAAATCTCTCATAACTATGTTATGATGTTATTTATAATGATAATTATAATGATATTATCAAGTCATTATCAACTGTCAATGATCACACAGAGATTCTGTATGGTCTGTTCTCTATGTTTAGGTTTTCCAATGTTATACCCAATCACTGCTTCGTTGAAGTCTCTCCCATTTGTTTCTGCTGTCCTTTTTATCTGTTCTTCCACCTTTCTCAGCAGCACAGACTTCTCAAGAAAGCTAGGATTTTGCACATAATGGTCCACCTTATAGTAAGTTAAGTCTTGTGCTTTTGAGTGACAAACCTAAACTGATTTGGTTTGGATTAATTTCATTGTTTTGTTTCTTTTGTCTTAATTCTAAAGCTATTGTATGTGGAGACTTACTGCTCTATAGTGTGATGTTTTGGTTTTCCTAACCAATTTTTTAATATCCATGGTTAGGAAAGTTTAATGAGTAATTTCCAGATTTTTCCACCAGTATCTCTAATACATACGATATACATAATGTGAATCTAAAACACTTAAAGCAGCTGTTAGAATTATATATGAAAAATGTACAATAAAATGTGCTGTATTCAATAAGCTTAGAAACGTGACTGTACAAAGGTATGTGATCAATTTTAATAACATTCACCATTCAATTTACATTCAACATTTATGAACGTTCAATTAAATTTCAGAAAGCTAGTTCCATGCCCTCTGCTCTGATTAAGTTCTTTTTATTTCTTATATACAATTACTGAATTGGCCAATTTCTTGAAACTCTCTTCTACTTTATTGAAGAATAACTATGCAATCTGATTTTTTTTAAAAGGGGGAATTTCAAAGACACAAAGAGTCTGGAGGATCTGTTTATTTTAGCCTTGTTTTCTTTCTGAAAGTCTTCAGTTGTGATGTTTAAAGTTAAAGTGAAACCAGGAGTGCCAAGCACTTTAAAAGCACTTACACTGAACAATTGACATATCTAGTGACTGAACAGAATGCTTATGTTTTATATGCCTGTAGGCACAAGCAGATTTACATTAATGTGGCTGTCTGGCATCTATAAACTTCTAACTGTGGACTTTCTTCCGATGCCTCCTGCATCCTTCAATAACTTATTTTTTGCAGTAGCCAAAAACTGTTTAGAATAGCAAGAATTTTTTTCTTCTCCAGTTATCTATTGCTAGTCATTATAGAAATGTTTAGTGTTTTGTGTGTGTGTGTATATATATATATATGACAATATTGAACTAATTTTTTTCTTTCCTCTCTCTCTCTTTCTCTTTCTTTCTCTTTTGTAGAATGTTTTGAAAGATTCATTAGTTCTGTGATACTTGAACAGTATTCCAGGAAACCATGGGGATCTTTGGAAGCTGATCAAAGACTCAGCAGTTTGAAGATCAAAAGCTGTTGATAGATAAGCTTTCTGGAAAGACAGCTTGTCTATAACCACCAACTTTGTCAGCACTGCACAGCCACATGGATGTTTATAATGTAGACTGCAATGTTTCCCATGTCTGACTAATATTCCAATAAATCAAGGACGTACAATAAAAATAACCCCAATCATTCTCCTCAGTAAGTCAACTAGTCTACCCTAGTTCTATTGGCTCCAAACATCTTCCAAATGTAGTGAATTTTATTTTTCAACACTCCTTCAAAATAGATATGATATTGTGTAAAAGTCACACAGCTCTATTGCTGTTCTGCTGGCATCAAGGAAGATCCAATAATTCCAATTCACACCATGTTGCAGACAAAATTTGTTTGACATGGTTAGTCCAACTTTGAACTTTCTTTTCAAGTTGTACATCCATCATTCATACATAACATAAGATGACGTTTGAAGCCTGTTTCATTGAACCATTTAAAACTATAGGATCTTAAGGGGCTACTAATAACAAATAACATATCATTCAATCATTTCACCCAAGGTATTAGTAAATATTATTTTCTCTTTTCTTTTGTATATTTAACCTACAATTAGATGTTTAATAAAACTAACTGCATTTCCTGTATCAAAAACTCTTTTTGTTTTGCCTTCAAGTTACCCTTGGCTACAGACTGTCCTCAACTTACAACTGCTCATAACTATGACTATTAAGAGTTATGATGAAGTTAAAAAATTTCTTATGGCCTGTTCTTAAGGTTATGACTGCTGCCTCGCTGGTGTTCACAAGATTGCATTTTGCACACTTGGCATTTATGGCATCATTGGGTATGCTGGATTGCTGGGTTGCTTACTGATCCTAGGAATTGCTTAACAACTTTGATAACTCATTTCACAATCATCATAAATTAATTACAAAATTGAGTTCAGTCGTAAGTGAAATGCCTCAGCTTATGCAACAATTTATGACTGAAGTTCCAGACTCCATTGTGTTTGTAAGCTGAGAACAATCTGTAGCTAAAGAAATCTCTACAGTGTTCTTGGCAACACTTTTGGAAGCAGTTTGCAACTATCTTCTTCCTAGGAATAAGGAAGAGCAACTGGCCTAAAGTTCTAAGCATTTTTCATTCTATGTTAGACCATAGATAAGAGCTTGCAGTTTTAAATGCCTTGCATTTGGATCTTTCCAATGTTATGAAGAAAATTTCAGCCTATAAACATTTGCAAGAGATGAATTGTATGTTGTGAAATCACGATCAAACTTCAACCTTTACAAACATACATGAAACACCATGCGACTAGGGCAGAGCTGATGTCATGATATAACAATGCATATGTCATCATGTTGGGTTTATCGTGATTAGAACCTAGGTTCTAGCTTACTCCCTACTGAGGTATATACAACTTACTAAGTCTTACTCTTTTCTCCAAATAGATGTCCCATCAAAAAAACAATTCATGCCTACACTTTAAAACATTTCATTATATTGTATTCATAACATTGGATCGTGGGCTGCATCAAGAACTTATTTCTACTTAATTCCATCACATCACAAACATACTGCTACTTGCATATTCCTCACATTTTAATAAGTATCCCAAAATGAAATGTGACTCACTTGGATTCTTTGGTATATGCACAAATTCCCAGAAAAGTTCAATAATGCTCAAGGTAGGCAATATTCCATTTATTTTCAGAAAAGTTGTAAGAAGTTTTGATTGCCATTATAAAGTAAAAAAACTAAGGACTCTAACATTTCAGAGTCAAACAATTACTTTAAATAAATTAATCAGGAAATTATAATCATCCTGCATATTTGTGAGGGGGGGGGTTCTTTGCACTAAAGACAGAAATAATTTAAACAACTATTTTGGGGTGAAGAATTTATCTCCTTGTATTAACCTTTAGGGGAAAAATAGATCTATTTGCAGTGGTATTTACAACAATCAGACAAAATGCAATCATTAAAGACAGACTAATTTGTTGATCACTCAGTCATTTCTCATCTTTGTTTACTTTGATTCAAAATCTCTCTCCCCACTCTCTCCCCCTCCTTTGGACTGCTAACTGTAAATACCATAGTGGGAAGCAATATCTTTATCTTATGCCATAAAACATTTATAAAAGTTCACAAAGAACCCAAACCATTCACAATTTACAAAATAATAGGTGTTTTAAAGAAAATGAAAAATCTTATCTTCAAAGTCTACAAGTAATTCTTGGATTATGATGATGATTGGGACTGGAATTCCCATTGCTAAATGCAAGAATGGCAGGGATAGCTGGGATTGATGGAGTCT